CGTTGTACTGACCAATACTAATGTGACCCCCACAGCCTCCCCTCCCCCCCATCCCCTGCTTTATGGGGAAGAGGAAATGGACCAATTGAAAGGAGTTTAACAAACCACAATCCCCCACCCCCAAATCCCTCCCCATAACCTCTCACCCATGCACTCCCACTGGGTATCAAGAAACAGCCCCCCAACAAACAGCCTCCCCAACAAAGAAAAACACAACTAGTCCTCCTGGCCACCTTTCTAGTCCCCCAATAAACACAATGGTTCCTCAAGGCCAGAGCCCTCATATGCACAAGATTTGATGGGTTGAAACAAGAATTGGGAGGGATGGGGGTACAAAATGCAGCCCCATCCTGTCTCCCCCAAACCTCATGACACGGGGTTAACAATTTGTGCTAGGGTTGTTGTGGTACCTATATATCAGGGGGAAATGCTTCCAGGAGAGCCTGACTTACCTTATTCCACTGCTTCAGAGATCAAGCCTGGATCAGAACCAGCACCCAAAGCAGTGGGGTGGACTTTGGATCTGAACTAGAGCCAACACTGTGATCCGGTTAGCGAGCATTGTGGGGCAAAGCCTCCATATGTGCTGCAAGCGGTTGCTGCAGCGTTGGGGTTCAGGTCCTCCCTCCGCAAACAGGATGGATTAGCAGGGCATCACGGAGGGCTGGTGGGGTAATAGAGGATTTATCTGTGTACTGATACACCCTTGGTGTGTGTGTGTACTACCACTGGTTTAGGATCAGAACAGCCTGTATAGCATGTGTGTGTGTGTATGCGTGTGCATACTGTCCCCTACTGGACAGGTTCAGAAATGCCTGTGTGTGTGTATATGCTGCTTCATAGTGAATATACAAGGGCAGTTCTGATTTTGTTCTGGGTGGTGTGTGTGTGTGTGTGTGAGAGAGAGAACACTCTCTCTGTGTAAGTACTACCCCTATTGGATAGGATCAGAACTGCCTATGTGTGCATGTGTACACTGCTCAATCCTGGGATAGAATGAGGACTGCCTCTAGGTTTGGTGATGTTCTGCCCCCTCCTAGACAGGAGCAGAATGGCCTGTGTGTGTGTGTGTGTGTGTGTGTGTGTGTGTGTGTATACTGCTCATAAATGTATTGTTCAGGACTGTCTGTATGTGTATTTGTGTCCTGCTCAATACTGCATAAACGGAGGTCTGCCTGTTTGTCTACTAAATAGGATCAGAAATGTGTGTGTGTGTGTGTGTGTGTGTGTGTGAGCATACATGCACATGTACTGCTCTCTACTGGAGATGATCATAACTGTGTGTGCGTGTGTACTGCACCCCACTGCACAGGCTCAGAACTGCCTGTGTGTGTGTATACTGTTTCATACTGTACAGAATCAGAAGTGTGTGTGTGTGTGTATGCATGTGTGCATGCACATATACTGCCCCCTATTGGACAAGATCAGAACTACCTCTGTGTCTGCATGTGCGTGTACTGCTCCATACTGTATATAATCAGAACTGCCTGTGTTTGGGCATGCTTGTATGTACTGCCCCATATTAGAAATGATCAGGTGTGTGTGTGCACACATGTGATGTTTCCTACTAGATAGGATCAGAAGTGCGTGTGTGCAAATGGATGTGTACCGCCTCCTACTGGAGTTGATCATAATTCTCTGTGTATGTACTGCCCCCTGCGGAACAGAATCAGAATCAGAATCAGAACTGCATGTGTGTGTGTGTGAGAGAGATACTATAGAATCAGAACTGCCTATATGTGCGTGCTTATGTGTATTGCCCCATCCTGGACATCAGAACTGCCTCAGTGTGTGTTTGTGTATGTGTGCGTTGCTCCCTAATAGACAGGTTCGGAAGTGTGCATGTGTTCATGTATGCCTATTGCCCCCATGTCAGATATTCATCATAACTGGTTGAGTAAGTGTGTGTATTACCCACTACTAGATAGGATCAGAACAAACTGTGAGTGTGTGTGTGTGTGAGAGAGAGAGAGATTGAGAGAGAGAAAACGAGAACTGTCCCCTACAGGATAGAATGAGAATTTCCTGTCTGTATGTATATGGACTGCTCCTGGATAGCTAGGATCACAGCTCTGTGTGTTTGCGTGCGTGTAAGCAAGCAGTGCCCTCTACTGGACAGGATGAGAAATCCCTATCTTCCCACACACCGCAGAAAGGCTCAGAACTGCCTTCTCTTACCCCAACTTACCTCACCCTGAACAACCATTACCCTCAGACTATCTGATACCTTCCCTCCCTGTATCCCCTCTGTGGGCTGGCTATTACTCTTCCCACAGCCTCCCACTGACCAACTGTTTCTCCCTTCCTACTTCTCTCCTGGCCAACACACACACACATGCACGCACGCACACCCTGTTACAGCTTCCCCACAGGCCATCTGTTACCTCTCTCTAACCCCTCCTATAATGCCTGTTAACTGCCCCGAGCTTCCCCTAGAACAGCTGTTACCCCAACTTCTGTACTCTCCACATACCAGTTGTTACCCACCCTCTCCATACAACCTTATCACAGAACAGCTGTTCCCTACACCCATACCACAATGGCCATTGCCACCATAGCCTCCTCCCGGAACAGCTGTTCCCCCTGTCTCCTCCCAAAGCCGCTGTTACCCATCGTCCTGCCCCAGATTGGCTGTTACACCCCTACCCACAGCCCGCTCAGGGAACAGTGGTTATCACCCCAACCACCAAATCCTCACTGAATGGCCATTCCCCCTCCAACACCCTCCTCACTGAATGGCTATTTCCTGCCCCCACAGCCTCCTCACAGAACGGCCATTCTGCCCCCGACAGCCTCCTCACAAAATACCCATTCTGCCCCTCTGCCCAGCCTCCTCACACACCGGCCATTCCCTACCCACCTACTCACTGAACGGCCATTACCCCTCCAACAGCCTCCTCACTAAATGGCCATTTTCCTCCCCAGCCTCCGCACAGAACAGCCATCCACCCCCAGCCTCCTCACAGAATGGCCATTCCCCCCCTCACAGCCTCTTCACAGAATGGGTCCTCCCCCCCCACGCCCACACAACCTCCTCACACAACGGCCATTAACCCTCCAAAAGCCTCGTCACAGAACGGCCACCCCCACCCCCCACACACAGAATGGCCATTCCCCCCCCCCGCCAGCCTCCTCAGAGAACGGCCATTCCCCCTCCTACCCCAGCCTCATCACACAAC